CATCTCGGACGTCTCGCGCAGTGATTTAACCAGCGTGGAGTGCGTGCTGGACAGCGAGGACGAAGTGAGGTGATGGTGAAGCTGCGGCGAGTGGTGGTGTTGCTGCTGCGGCTGTTGCTGCTGCTGTTGTTGGCTCTGGTGCAGGTGGATGTGCTGCAGGTGTTGGTGGTGGTGGTGGTGGTTGAGGTGGGTAGTGGTTGCAGCGGCGGCGGTAGTGGCGGCGGCGGCGGCGGCGGGCCGCACGGCCTCGGCCTCCGCGGAGTCCTTAGCGCCGCGCAGGGCCCGGAACTTTTTGTGAGGCTTGTACGCCTCGTCCATCAGCGAGTTGGTGTCGTACAGAGGTGGCGCCTGAAGCACACGCTTCAGAACCGGCATGTCCTCGATGGCCGGCGGGTGCGAGTCGGCCACCATCATGACGTCGTCCACTGTGGACCGTGGGCTCGAGCACACCGATGTGGGCGCGCTATGCAACATCGGCCTGTCCAGCTTCTCGGTGCCGGACTCGATGCCGGAGTCGGTGGGCGAGTCCTGTTTGCGTTGGTACCGGCACGACACCGGTCTGACAATCACCCGGTGGTGTTCGTCCGCGGACGGTGCGGCCGCGTGACGTCTGATCGGTGACACAGCGCCGGCCAGTGTGGCCGCCAGCAGCGGCGCGCTCGCCGCGTGCTTGCTCGGACCGTGGTGGTACTCGTCCGAGCATACCGACTCCGTGCTGGACACCGACCCGAGCGGGCTCTTCACCTCGTCCAACATGACCAGGCTCTTCATGTCCTCCACGGAGGTCGTTTCGTCCGACCACGACGACGAGCCAGCCTCTTCGCCAGGGCTCTTCCGGTTAAAGTCCTCGCCGCCACTGCCGCCGTTCATCATCATGCTCCACACGCCTCCCATGCCGCTCTGGTGTTGGTTCTCCTGCTGCATGTGTTGGTGCTGATGCTGCTGTTGTTGGTTTTGTTGCTCGGTCATCTTGAAAGCTAACAGTTTCTCGGAGTGCAATGTGTTCAGCGTCCGCAGGTCCGGGATTTTCTTCAGCAGCTCTTGGCATAGGCCAGGTCTGTCCGGGTGGTTTTGCATGAGCACCGATTGCAACGCGCTCTTCAACTGTTTGTGCATGCGTTCGATGAATTCGACGTTGCGCAAGCCCGGTCGATCTGTTCGGGAAAAAACAAAACAAAAACCGATTCCTTAGAAAATTGTTCTCCGCACCAATATGCCAATAACGAGCGGAGTGCACAAGTGGTGCAAGGACATGATATCGTTTAGCTCGAACGATCGAAATAGATATTATTGGCATTTCTCGTGAATTTAAAAACTATAAACCAGCCGGATGGAGGAGTTTGAGAGAAAGAAGAGAATAATTGTTTTGGGCGCAGAAAGAAAAATTTATCATAATAATACAGTTTGTTGATGTAAACGCTTACCGGCAGCGATCACGATGACGGCGTTGAACAGACCGATCTCGGAGTCGTTTAGTCGCATCGCGTTCAACCTCTCGGCAAACTCGAACATGGAATCGGTAAGGAATCTCGCGTTGGAGTACGCGCACACCGACTCTCTGCGCAACACTTGACCGTTGAGCGTCACCATGCTGTTGCACTGCGCGAAACAAAGAGTGGAAAAAAAAAACAGGTCAGTATACGCCGAAAAAAGAACCGTGACACGCATATACATTAAGTATTTATAATATGTGCAACGCTTACCTCGGAATCGAACATGCAAGCCAAACGGACGAGTAGCACCTCGAAAACACCGGCTTTGAGCAGGGTCACCTGGTCGTCTTGGGCGAGTAACCCGAAACCAGGTATGCGCTTGGCGAACTCGACCACGCCGCGTATAGCTGGCGAGAATCGCTTCGAGAAGTCGTTCAACAGCTCTTGTTGGCCGGTGACGGGTCGCGGACTCGGGTTCAACGGGCAAGCCTGAGAAAAAAAAAACCAAAATGGATGAGTAACCGGCGGGATTTGTTTTTCGCGGCCTTGAGAGGCTCGTCGGCGGCGGCGGCTTCCTCGTCAAGGCCGACGACGTTATTAAAAACGATTACGCGCGACGCGAACACGCATTAAACGTTCATGTGTACCGGGTTATCGACAGATAGCCACGGGCGCGCGCGTGCGCGTTTGAACGACGATCGCCACTACGCGCACAAGTGGCGCGAACGCGGGTGAAGGGGTCGGCGGCGGCCGAGAGCGCATTAAAATAATAACGTATGCGTCGGTCACAAGTCGTTTAGAAAATTTCGGCGGCAACAAGGCCAAGGACGCGAGCGTGGAGAAATTGTGTGCGTTATTTTTCTCGCGGTATCGGCAGCGGCGGTGACGCGCGCGCGGAGAAATTAAAAAGAAGAGAAACAGCGGTAAGAGCGAAACGATTGAATATCGTTTGGAATATATTGTAGTGTACCGATGGTCGAGAATGTAACGTTTAAAAAAAAAAAAAAAACGAAAAATATCAACATCACCGGGGCCGCGAAATAATAATTTTAAATAACGAACGCGTACCGCAGTTTTATTACGAAAATATCAACACCGTATAGCCAGCCAGCGCGTACACGTACACGTTCGTAATACGTTATAGGACCTTGTTGATTAACGCACAAAAACACGTCTCCAAGGTTCTTCCTGGACGCCGCGAGGCTCGGATGCGCCGTGTCTCTCGGACGCGTTCGTTACAATCATATACTATATCAATAATATTTTACCGTGTTCTATACGACACGACGATTTTTCCCGTGAAACGTTAAAAACAAGTTACTCACCAGTGTCGGATGGCACAACGTGTAGTTCGGTTGCTCACGGGCTCGAGCCAACGTGGGCGCGACCTTGTCCGATGTGAAGTCGCAGGTCTCCAGATGGGCCCTGACCACGCTGGCAACGAGTCTCTGGTCGTCTTCTAGCTCCGCCACGGCGGCCTTCTCCTGACACTTGGAGTTACTGCTCTGCTGCATGGCGGCCAATATACGAGCCTTTTCCCGTTTGGGCACACGGCCGAATCGTACGGCTGTGGAGAAAAAAAAAAAACCGTTTATTAACGCGACACATGAAAAAGTACAGTGTAAAAAAAAAAAAAAAATTAAATAAACAAATAAAACAATGATAAAATGTTACGAGGAACTATTGAAAAACGTATACACGATGTTACGAGAACGAGAAAAATAATGAAAAGTGATATACACCGGTCGTACGTTTTGTCGTCGAATCGCATTTGGCTAACATGTTGATGACGACCGTCGTGAACGCGCGCCACTGTTACACTACGGCCCCGTCGGCGGCGGCGGCGGTGCGTGTATCGCCGTACGGATAAAACGAGCGACCGTATAGGCGGCGGCGGCGGCGGCTGTAGCAGCAGGTGCCGGGCAAATATCCTGCGCACTGTCCCTTTCGCGGAGGCGGCTGTGACCGTCGAACGCGCGCACACCGCAGACAGACTTACACGCACACACACATGTTCACCGAAAACTACCACCCCCGGAGAACGGGAGTTATCTCGCGGCCTTGACTCGTAACGCCCTTGAAAAAACGAGTCGAGCGAATCGATTCGAACGATTTCGCGTTGCCCGGAATGCGCGCGTGTGCGTGTCCGTGTTCGTGTGTGTGTGTGTGTGCGCGATGGGCGATTGGACGAGAAAATTAAAACTCTCGACGACGAGACGGTGAAAGTAAAAATGATAACGACGGTCTAAAAATACGTTTTACGCTGCTGCTGCTACTACTAGTACTATTAAATGCGGTCGTTAAAAAGTGTACTGTTTATTCGGTAGTTTTCTTTTCGCGCGCGCGGTTCGTCCGATATGTGGGTCGTCGTGGGGGCGCGAATGAGAGAGAAATTGGTACAGAATTTCACTTTTACCGAGGTTGTCTAGAAAGTAAGCGCCGCGCGGTGAGAGGGGACGCCGCCGCGCGCCGCCTCGACGAAAGCGTGGCCCCGAAAAATAATTGAAAAAAGAAAAAAACAATACGCACCGGCCGCTGTTGGGAAAATCGCGGACGA